GAAGGGAAGGGTTTTAGGGTTTAGGGTTTAGGGTTTAGGGTTTAGGGTTTAGGGTTTAGGGGTTTAGGGGTTTAGGGGTTTTAGGGTTTTTAGGGGTTTAGGGTTTAGGGTTTAGGGTTTTGGGCTTTTGGGGTTTTAGGAAGGGAAGGGAAGGGAAGGGAAGGGAAGGGAAGGGAAGGGAAGGGAAGGGTTTGGGGTTTTGGGGTTTTAGGGTTTTAGAGGGTTTAGGGCTCAAGGCCGTTCAGGGTTCAGGGTTTATTGGGTTAGGGGGTTTAGGGTTTCAGGGTATAGGGGTTTGGGGTTTTGGGTTTTGGGGTTTTAGGGGGGCCGTTCAGGGTTCAAGGCCGTTTAGGGTTCAGGGTTTAGGCGTTTAGGGGGTTTAGGGTTCAGGGCTTTAAGGGGTTTAGGGCCAGGGGGTTTAGGCTTCAGGGCCATTGAGCGTTCAGGGCTTAGGGGGTTTAGAAGGTTTAGGGCTCAGGGCTTTGAGGGGTTTAGGGGGTTGGGTCTAGGTGTTTAGTGGGTTTAGGGTTCAAGGCCGTTTAGGGTTCACGGTTTAGGGGCTTTAGGGGGTTTGGGGGTCAAGGCCGTTTGGGTTTGGGGTTTAGGGTTTAGGCTTGAGGGTCGAAGGTGTAGGGTTTAGGGCTCACCGGAAGTGGGAACGCGCCTCCGGGGAAGACTTTTGTGGCTCAGTTTGGTGGTTGTGGGTTCAGTTGTGCAGCTGCTGGAAAAGGGCTCCAGCATTAGAAGCATCGGGGAACCGCAAATCCTGAAGCCTAAGCTCAAAACCCTCTTCGCAGAGGCGGGTAGCAGAACATTGGAAAATTGAGCTAAACCCTAAAACCTACATCCTGACCCTCTTTTGCCTCGGGTCTGTCAGGTTTTACGGCACAGGAATTGGAGGGGGCGTGCTTGAAGGGCTCGGACTCTCTTTAGGGGTTTAAGGTTTCGGGTTAGGGGTTTAGGGTTTCGGGTTTATTCTTATTTTCTATTTTTGTTGCAGCCCCTTTTCCAACTGCAGAAGTAGCCGAAATTCCCTACCGGGTTTCGGGTTTACGGGTCTTGGGTTTAGGGGTTTAAGGGTTTAGGGTTTAGGGGTTGTCTTGGTATCAGAATAGGTCCGAAGACTACTGAGTCTTTTCATAGGGTTTAGGGTTTAGGGTTTAGGGTTTAGGGTTTAGGGATCTGTTACCGTTGTATCTAGACTGCGAATACGATTACTATTGCTATGCGCCTGGGTCGTTGCTTTTCCTACTACCCATAGGCCCCATAGTAGTTCCTTTTCGTGCCTCATATTTAGGATCCTATTAGGTAATCCCCCAAAAGGAACTAAACCCTAAACCCTAAACCCCAAACCCTAAACCCTAAACCCCTAGCCTAATTATGGGTACTGCAGTTCCGCTAGTTCAAGGTGGTGTTTTGATCAAGGGGCCCGGGGCTTGAAGAGACTTTACACCCTAAACCGTAAACTCGAAACCCCAAATCTCCCACCCTAAATAGTAAATCCTACATCTCCCACCCTAAATCCTAAATCTCCCACCCTAAACCCTACATCTCTCACCCTAAACCCTACATATCCCACCCTAAACCCTACATCTCCCACCCCAATCCCTAAACCTCCCACCCCAAACCCTAAATCTCAAACCCTAAACCCTACATCTCCCACCCTAAACCCCATACCCTAACCTCCAGAAAGTGGGGCCTCCGGAGAACCGGAAGGGAAGTTGCCAGTCCGGCCAGACACGCGATGCTCCAACTCCTGGTTGGGCCGAAAGCGGAGTCACTCACACTCCAAGGCCTATTGGGGTTTAGGGTTCAGGGCTTAAGGGTGTTTTGGGGTTTAGGGTTCAGGGCTTAAGGGTGTTCAATATTTTAGGGTTTTAGGGTTTAAGGGGGCTTAGGGTTTAAGGGTGTTCATGTTTAGGGGTTTAGTCTTGCTTATCATTGCTTCCGGTTCAGGCTTCAGGGTTATGGGCGGAGAGGGAAGAGAGGCTTGCAGCCGATCGCTCGGAAGAGGTGAAGAAACCCCGTCCGGCTGAACCCACGCTAAACAGGTATGACACAGGTTGCATACAGCAGGTTGTGCTACCACTACGGGTGACGGAGGGAACATTCAGGTACTTCTTCCAGGGCTCTCTGCACAGCGCGTGTCAAGAAGCAAGGCTTCACCATTTTAGTAGGTGCAGGGTTTCGGGTCGAAAGATGATTCGTGGGTGACTCCGGTGGAGGTTCAACAACATGCGCATGATGCAACCACATGCTGCCTCCAAGATACCCCTTGACACAAGCCAAGGGCAGACACTCAAGAGCTTGGGGTTAAGGGTGTAGGGTTTAGGGGTTAGGGGTTTAGGGTTTAGGGTTATCTGGTGACACTGTTGATGATGGACTGGCCGATGGGCCGGCCCCAGAGCTCAAGACACGGAACTCCCACGCCGCTGTCAATGGACATGCATTGAACCGGTAAGTGATACGAGTAAGGATCGCGGTCGAAGCAGTCATCGCCATCGGCCTCATCCTACCAGTCTTGAACACAAACTCCACAGCAGCAGCAGCAGCAGCAGCAGCAGCAGCAGCAGCAGCAGCAGCAGCAGCAGCAGCAGCAGCAGCAGCAGCAGCAGCAGCAGCACTACCACCACCGGCAACCAACAGCAGCAGCAACGAAACACAACAAGCGGCAACAAACAGGAGAAGAGCAGCAACGACAACACCACCAAAAACAAATATATAACCAGACAACGACATAGCAGTGATCATGATGAACAGCTCTCGATGCGACTTACACCTCTTGTGGTCCCCTACAAAGCTTGAGTCGCGGACACCGGCCCATGCCCCCCGCACATCCGGTTTAGGGTTTAGGGTTTAAGGGTTAAGGGTTTAAGGGTTTAGGGTTTAGGGGATCAAAACATGGTTGGGTTCTGGGCTTAGGGCTTAAGGGTTAAACCCTCAATCCCTAAACCCTAAACCCTAGGGCTTAGGGTTTCGGGATCTGCTTCTTCAAGCAGGGCTCCAGCGGCGGTCCCATCTGCGGCCGGCGCCCGAGCTTCATGGCATCCTGGACTCAGTCTGGTTACTGACTTCGGGTTTAGGGTTTGGGTTTAGGGTTTAGGATTTAGGGTTTAAGGCTTTGTAAGGTCTAGGGGGTTTAGGTTTCGGCTGCTGCTCCTCGTAGATGGAAGCTTGCTGCGGCTCTTTGCTGTGCGTCAATGCGACAAAATCATGAGTATCTTCGATCTGGCCTGCTTTCCAACATGTATAGGGTGGTTCTCTAAACTAGGGTTATGCGGATTGTTAAACCGTTTGTTGCATACGCATATAGGGACTATGATAGAGACCCTGTACCCAGAAGACCTCTAACGTCTCCAGGAAACTTATCTCCCAAACCTCGATGTCTTGACCTGCATCTTGCCGTAATGTAGGGGCCTTAATATTAATTAGAATACGGTTTGGGGACCCGCTATACTGTAATTATAATAATTATAATAAGGGGCCTCCAAAACGATCTGGGTAATTATTCAGGCCCTTATAGTACATCTTGAACGCTGAGCCCCCCGGACCTTCTCAACACTTTCGGACCATGTCACGGTAACTAGCCTCCTTCATCATTCGGATAGAGTTGTTCGAGCATCTGTTGGTCGAAATATCATCGGACGATCGGGTGACTGCTGTGCGATTCATTACTGGCTTGAGGGTTTACCCCAAAGCTCTTATTGCTGTTATGGGCTTTCTAAGGGAAGGTTTGGGCTTTGGGGGGAAAGGTTTGGGCTTTCACTATGGGGTTCATGAGCCTTAGGGTAGGGTTCTACCCTAAACACTAAACCCAAGCTGTTCCTTTCAAAACCCCCGAATGAAGGACCTGAAGCTCTTAGCCAGGTCCTCGTCCGGACGCTCGCCCAATGACTCCGCCTGGCATCACAAAGCGTTGAGCGGGGCTTTGGTCTAGGGGTTCGGGGTTTAGGGTTTAGGCTGTAGGGTTTGGGGTTAGTACTTAGGTAACCCCGCCTAGACCCCTAAACCCTAAACACCAAATCGATGCTTGGCGGCACAGGTACAGGTCTTGTGTTTCCTATCACTGCGCCCTGAAGAGTCAGACTCGAACGCAACCCTCAACCATGATATCCCGAAGCCGGCCCTACTATTAATTACTCTGGCTAGAGTTATCCCTAAACCAACTTACTCTGGTTAGAGTTATCCCTAAACCCTAAACCCTAAACCTATTGTGATTGATGTTACTACTACTAACTCCAAAACCCTACGCCCTGGAATGACCCTCAACACTCCAACCAACATTCCGAACCCTGAAACCCACACCCTAAACCCTACACGTTTAGGGTTTAGGATTAAGGGTTTGGGGTTTTGGATTTAGGGTTTATGAGATTTAGGGTTTAGGCTTTCCCCAAGCCCCAAACACTAAACCAAGGCAGCCCTAGATATGCGTAAGATTCATTGCTGGGGGAAGAGCTCTGAAGATTCCACGGGACGGGGCCGTATCTTCTGGCTGTGTATAGGGAACTTAAAAATCCGAGTAGACTTTTGGGTTATACGATTGTGCAAGTATGGGGACCTCAATGATAAGAGTAGGGTTGTAAAACGGTAAAACTTGTTGAGGCTAAAGGGATAGTTTTTGCAAGTTATTCCGACCCCTATCGCACACTTATATAGGCATTTGCACTAACACGCAGTCCCTCTGGCACAAGCCCAGACACAATATAGGGCTCAATAGCTAGAAAAGGCTTTTTGGGTGAACGAATATGACTACGATGCGAAACCTAAGTAGCACAGAGTTTAGGGTTTGGGGTTTTGAACCAATCCTGAACCCTTGGATGCTGAAGCCAACTTACAGTGAAGGCCTCGGTGACCAAACGGTGGGACAGGTAGATGCCACCAAGGACACGCCCCTCTTGGTTCTTGATCTCCTGGAGGGTTTCTTCATAAAGGTCTGAATCGCATCAGGGCGTTATAAGGCCTCATGCTGGTTGTCACAACGTTGTATAGGACAATTTCTCAGGGTCCGGGGCCTATACTACAGGGGCCTAAACGTCCGTATACTAGTAACCTAAACCCTATAGTATTTTTTGGGGGGCCTCCAAGGGAATGCATGTGAACAACCCTAAACCCTAGACCCTTAAACCCTAAACCCTTATTGAAATCTCCTTGTACTGCTTCACCAGCGGTTTCCAGGAGACTTTGATTGCATCTGTGACGCCGATGAGCTCCGCTGTGGTGGAGGAACCAGATCTGGAAAAATTCGGGGCTCGAAGGAAACAGGACAATGAAGAAAAGACATGAATAGCAAAAATTCATGGTTAAAATAGGGTTAGGTTTGTTTGGGGGGATCTGATGGCACAACAACTTGAAATGAAAGGTGTTACCGATTCCTGCAATCATTCGCATTTACCTGACAGACACCTGGTCAACCGGAGCTACGCATCCTGGGGAACAAGCTAGTAGATGGTTAGTGTGAGGGCCTTATAGACGGGTTCGTTAGACTAGGCTTTATACTACAATACTACAAAAAAAAGATATAAGGGCGATATCATATAATCTAGTACAATACTACAAAAATAATTATAAGGGAGATATCACGACTAGGAAGACGGCATGCTGCGTGTAGGGTCCTGGTTTTCGCTGCAGTACATGCTTTTGAGGTTCCCAGTGGAGCCTCAAACTCACCCTAAAATAGGGACCTTAATAATTAGAATAGGGTTTTCAGGTTTAGGATTTGGGGTTTAGGGTTTAGGGTTTTGGGTAAGGAACCCCCAAAAGAGTATTGGCACTTATTTAGGACCCTATCCTAGACTGCCGAGAGAGCTGCCAGTCAGATCGATATGGGGGGGGTCTCCCAAAATTATAGGGTACCAGTTTAGGAACCCTTACAATAAGGACTCTAATATTTGGGGTTCTTCATCGGGGGTTCCCCTACTTTACCAGTTTAGGAACCCTTATAATAAGGACTGTAATATTTTGGGTTCTTCATCGGGGGTTCCCCTACTTTACCAGTTTAGGAACCCTTATAATAAGGACTATCCTATTTTTGGGTTCTTTTATTGGGGGCTCCCCTATTTTGGGAAAGTGCCCTAGCAGGGCTTTCGGGCGATCAGGGTTGCAAGCTTGGGATCAGCTTCGGAGTTTTGAGGGGGTTTAGGGCTTAGGGTTGAGGCTTCAGGGTTCAGGGTTTAGGGTTTAGGGTTGAGGGTTCAGGGTTCAGGGTTTAGGGTTTAGGGTTGAGGGTTGAGGGTTCAGGGTTCAGGGTTGAGGGTTGAGGGTTCAGGGTCTAAATTTTAGGGGTTAGGGTGTGTAGAGTCTAGCTTTCAGTGGCACCAGCCTCTTGCCATAGGACAGGGCCACCTTGATGTACTGCGTGCCTCAGATGGGATCAGCACCCGATGAAGACATACCCAAAGATTGCTGCTTTTGCAACGCTCTCTTTGCCCTCAACTGCGGGAACCTACGCCCTCGAATGGCTGTAAAGCCGTCCTTCAATACATTCCAGTCCTGAACCTGTCATGACGCAGATAAGTAAAACGCGTTTAAGACCATTACTCGGTCTTCTATACCGTAAATATGTCACGGAGCCTAGGATAAGACTATTTCAAATCCTAAGCCCGTGTACAACATTAACGCGCCCCGAAATTGCAGCACAGTATGTGCAGGCCATGCCGTGGCCAAAATACTGTACACTCTATAATTCCGAGTCCCCCCAAACGACCCTCCTCCTCTTCCTCCTCATCATCATCGTCATGATCATTACAACCCTTGTAAAACCCTCTGAACGACTCTACTGATGAAAAGCCTCTCACTCGAGCAAAACCCTAGTTGCACCCTTGCAAAGCCATGAAGTGGGAATTAGGACTAGACCCTTGGGGATATAGACCCTCTCAATAAGGTCCCCTTCTAAGAGAACCATAAGTGGGGCTCAGAAGGGTCCCCTTTAAGGGTCTCCCTAATGCTACCTAAAATAAAGAAACCCTACCAAATCCTTTCGAAGACACCCGAAACCCATTAAAACCCTGCTAAAACCCCCACAGAAGACACCCGGAAAAAGCCACCCTAAACCCTAAACC